TTGTGTCATCCGCAAACTTTATTAGCACATTCCCGCTTTTTGTGCCAAGGTCAGTAATGAAAAGATTAAATAAGATTGGTCCCAAAACTGATCCCTGAGGAACTCCACTAGTAACCTCCTTCCAGTCTGACAGTTCACCTTTCAGTGTGACCCGCTGTAGTTTCCCCTTTAAACAGTTTCTTATCCACCTTTCAGTTTTCATATTGATCCCCATCTTTTCCAATTTAGCTAATAATTCACCATTTGGAACCGTATCAAATGCCTTACTGAAATTGAGATAAATTAGACCTACTGCATTCCCTTTGTCGAAAAAATCTGTTACCTTCTCAGAGAAGGAGATCAGGTTGGTTTGACACGATCTACCTTTTGTAAAGCCATGTTGTATTTTGTCCCAATTACCACTGACCTCAATGTCCTTAACTAGTTTCTCCTTCAAATTTTTTTCCAAGACCTTGCATACTACAGATGTCAAACTAACAGGCCTGTAGTTACCCAGATCGCTTTTTTTTACTTTTCTTAAAAATAGGAACTATGTTAGCAATTCTCCAGTCAGACAGTACAACCCCTGAGTTTACAGATTCATTAAAAATTCTTGCTAATGGGCTTGCAATTTCATGTGCCAGTTCCTTTAATATTCTTGGATGAAGATTATCCGGGCCCCCTGATTTAGTCCCATTAAGCTGTTCGAGTTTGGCTTCTACCTCGGATGTGGTAATATCTACCTCTGTACCCTCATTGCCATTTGTCATCCTACCATTCTCCCTAAGCTCCTCATTAGCCTCGTTAAAGACTGAGGCAAAGTATTTGTTTAGATATTGGGCCATGCCTCGATTATCCTTAACCTCCACTCCATCCTCAGTGTTAAGTGGTCCCACTTCTTCTTTCTTTGTTTTCTTATTATCTATATGGCTATAGAACCTTTTACTGTTGGTTTTAATTCCCTTTTCAAGGTCCAACTCTACATGGCTTTTGGCATTTCTCACTATCCCTACATATTCTGACCTCAGTAAGGTAGCTTTCCTTGCTAATCCCTCCCATCTTCCACTCCTTGTAGGCTTTCTGTTTTTTCTTAATCACCTCTCTGAGATGCTTGCTCATCCAGCTTGGTCTACAACTCCTGCCTATGAATTTTTCCCCCTTTCTTGGGATGCAGGCTTCTGAAAGTTTCTGCAACTTTGACTAGAAGTAATTCCAGGCCTCCTCCGCCTTTAGATCCACAAGTTTTTCAGTCCAATCCACTTCCCTAACTAATTTCCTTATTTTTTTGAAAATTAGCCTTTTTGAAATCAAAAACCCTAGTTACAAATCTATTTTTGTTTATCCTTCCATTTAGTTTGAACTGAATTAGCTCATGATCAAGGTTGTCCCCTACAATCATTTCTTCTATGAGGTCCTCACTACTCACCAAAACCAAATCTAAAATGGCATTCTCTTGTCATAAATATAAAGGGAAGGGTAAACCCCTTTAAAATCCCTCCTGGCCAGAGGAAAAATCCTATCAACCTGTAAAGGGTTAAGAAGCTAAAGGTAACCTTGCTGGCACCTGACCAAAATGACCAATGAGGAGACAAGATACTTTCAAAAGCTGGGAGGAGGGAGAAAAACAAAGGGTCTGGGTCTGTCTGTATACTGCTTTTGCTGGGGACAGAACAGGAATGGAGTCTTAGGACTTTTAGTAAGTAATCTAGCTAGGTATGTGTTAGATTATGATTTCTTTAAATGGCTGAGAAAATAGCTGTGCTGAATAGAATGAATATTCTTGCCTGTGTGTCTTTTTTGTAACTTAAGGTTTTGTCTAGAGGGATTCTCTATGTTTTGAATCTAATTACCCTGTAAGGTATCTACTATCCTGATTTTACAGAGGTGATTCCTTTACTTCTATTAAAAGTCTTCTTGTAAGGAAACTGAATGCTTTTTCATTGTTCTAAGATCCAAGGGTTTGAGTCTGTGGTCACCTATGCAAATTGGTGAGGATTTTTACCAAACCTTCCCCAGGAAGTGGGGTGCAAGGATTGGGAGGATTTTGGGGGGAAAGACGTGTCCAAACTATGTTTCCCAGTAAACCCAGTTAAAGTTTGGTGGTGGCAGTGGAAATCCAGGGGCAAAGGATAAAATTAATTTGTACCTTGGGGAAGTTTTAACCTAAGCTGGTGAAAGTAAGCTTAGGAGGTTTTCATGCAGGTCCCCACATCTGTATCCTAGAGTACCTTGACACCTCTCTTGTCAGTTCAGCAACTACTTGGTGAAGGAATCTATAAGCTGTCGTATCCAAGAGCCCTATTATTATTACTAGCACTTGTCCTCCAGTCTATATCTGGGAAGTTAAAGTCTCCCAAGATCACACAATTCCCATAGGTTTTTACTTCTTTAAAAACATTAAAGAGGTCTCTATCCATATCCAGTACGGATCCCGGCAGTCTATAGCACACCCCAAGCACTGTCCCAGGGCAGGCTCTAGTAGCTTTCTACCCCAATGTGATTTTTGCTCAGACAGACTTTGTCTTATCCATTCCATCACTTCTTATTTCTTTACAGTCTGCCTCATCATTGATATACAATGCTACTTCACCACCTTTGCCTTTACTTCTGTCTTTCCTAAACAGCACATACCCTTCAATATCCATACTCCAGTCATGACTGCTATTCCACCATGTTTCTGTTATCCCTATAATATCTGGTTTCACTTCCTGCACCAGTAGCTCTAGTTCCTCCATTTTATTACCTAGGGTCCTTGCATTAGTGTACAAACATCCTAATTTTTGCCATTTGGCTTCCCTCACATTCTTTACACAATTGGGCACAGACATTCTTCTGCCAATATTACCTATTAGGTTGGTATGTACACTGCCCTTCCACTTTATGTCCATTCTCCTACCTACAGCTGTATCCTCTCTTACTTCATTTTCTTCTCTCTCAAAGAGAATAACTGGGGTGGAGATTACCTGGACATCTCCCAACCATCTCCCCCAAATTCCTAGTTTAAAGCTCTCTTGATCAGTTGTGCCATCCTCCTTCCTAGAAGTCTATTTCCCTCCTTACTCAGGTGAAGTCCATCCCAAGAGAACAGTCCTCTGTCCATGAATGCTTCCCAAAGCCCTCCTTATAGCACCACTGCCTGAGTCATCTGTTGAGCATCATAATATTGTCACACCTTTGTTGCCCTTCTCTAGGAACAGGCAGAATCCCACTGAAGATCACCTGAGCCTCGATTTCCTTAAGCGTCTTCCTCAGCCTAGCATAGTCTCCCTTGATACGTTCCAGCGAGAATCTAGCCATATCATTTGTTCCCACATGAAGGACAATCAGTGGATTTTTTCCCACTCCTGTTAGGATCCTCTTCAGCCTCAGGTCCATATCCCGTATCTTAGCACCCAGCAGACAGCACACCCTTCTGTTCTCTGGATCAGCTCTTGTTACAGGCCTGTTTATTCTTCTCAGTAATGAGTCCCCAGTCATGTTGACCTGCCTTTTCCTTGCGATGGTGCGATTCTCCAGTCTATCCCCTGTTCCATCTGACCACAAGTCCTCTCGATTCCTATTGTCCCTTGCAATCCTCTGCAACCCATCCCGTATCCTCCTGGGGCTCATATTTGGTGATATCTCCATTGACTCTGGCCCTCTTCCAATAGGACTATCTGCTCTTCTCTTTTTCCTTGCCCTCTCACCTTCAGTGACCACCTGCTGTGCCTCTTCTTCATTTTCCAACTCTGCAAACCTGTTCCTGAGCGCTATTTCTCCTTCACTGCCCTGTCTTTTCCTCTGCCTGGTTTTCCTAGTCACATGCTTCCCCGTCCACTTTCCGCACCCAGCAGTATCCTCTCAGAGTTCTTCGGTCCTGCTTCCATCTGCAAGTCTGAGCTTTTCTCTCCAGCCTCCTCATGTCTTTGCTCCATCATCCGCTCGAACCCCCTTCTAAACTCAAACAGAATCTCCACCTGCATCTCTAATCCTAGGATCTTTCCTTCCATCAGCTCTATCAGGCGGCACTTCATGCAGACAAAATTCTTTTCAGGTACCTCCTCCAGGATCATGTACATGCTGCAGCTTCCACATGCAATCATCTTCATAGCGTCTTCCACTACTTGGGTCACTTCCCCTGCTGCCTCTGTATCTGTCATCGCCTTCTCACCTAAGTCCTGTTAGTCTGGGAAACACAAACCAAACCAAAACACCCACCCACAGCAAAACAAACCCCCCAGCGAGCATGAAAACACTGCCAGACCACCCCACACTCCCTTCACTAGGCTGTCAGTTCCTTTGCCTGTCTCTCTTAGTCTTCCCCCCCCAAACTCCCCTGTTTACAGCTCTGTTTGCTGGCTCCTGTGCTGCAGCAGCTGTCTGTGCCGCTGCCTGACTGGCTGGCTGCCTTTATCCAAATCATTAAATAAAATATTGAATAGTACCAGGCCCAGGAGAGTGATATTATTTCTGTATCCATAGGAACACAGTGACCAGAGAGAAAAGTGTTTAAAGCCACTAATGGCCAATGGGCATATGTCTTACCTAATCCTCAGCATTTCCCTCAAAACCTGGGCTGGCCCAGCCTATCCCAGGTACCCCTGCTTCTGGGGACTGGGTTTCAATCTCCTTCCCTGCAGACCCTGCCTCTCCTTCTCTGTTCATCAGGGCTTCTCTTTTGATAGTTCCCAAGCTCTTTGTTTAATTTTTCCACTGAAAGGGCCCCTCCCCTCTCCCAAGCTAGGGGGGTTGTGCCCAGCTTGGTCAGAGGCAAAAGTTCAAAGGCCTTGACACCCGTATTGTCAGTTAAGCACCAGTGACTGGGTTCTCTGCAGCCATTGTCTGCCTTGCTGGGACATGTGGGGAGCTCCAGCAGGAGTTACTCTTTGAATCCTGGTAGGAAATGGCAAAACAGCAATAAAAGAAACAGAGGTACACATAATATATGTAAACATACAGATATTTCCTATGGTCTTTGCAGGGGTCATAGTGGACAAGCAACGGAACTAGAGGTCCCAGGATGATGCTGTGAAAAGGCTAAGATGATCCTTGGAGGTTTAAACGGGAGCAGTGAGAAGAGCTGGCTGAAACACAGGATTTCCAGCTCACAGGAAATTTTGCTATTTCAAAACTTCCTGTGAACCAAATTTGTTCTGGAAACACCAACACATGGTGTGTCCAACATGAAATTTGCTCCCAGGGGCACCAGCAGATGCTGAGTGACACTGACATTCTTGTAAAAGTGGCAAAGAGTCCTGTGGCACCTGATAGACTAACAGACGTATTGGAGCATAAGGTCTCATGGGTGAATACCCACTTTGGCAGATGCATGTAGTGGAAATTTCCAGGGCGAGGCATAAATATGCAAGCAAGAATCAGGCTAGGAATAACAAGGTTAGTTCAATCAGGGAGGATGAGGCCCTCTTCTAGCAATTGAGGTGTGAACACCAAGGGAGGAGAAACTGCTTTCATAGTTGGCTAGCCATTCACAGTCTTTGTTTAATCCTGAGCTGAGGGTGTCAAATTTGCAAATGAACTGAAGCTCAGCAGTTTCTCTTTGAAGTCTGGTCCTGAAGTTTTTTTGCTGCAAGATGGCTACCTTTAAATCTGCTATTGTGTGTCCAGGGAGATTGAAGTGTTCTCCTACAGGGTTTTGTACATTGCCATTCCTAATATCTGATTTGTGTCCATTTATCCTTTTAGGAAGGGATAAATTCTTGTCAGTTTCATCATCCCAGGATTTCTAAATTCCCTGCTATGGAGCTGGGAGCTGAGCCCTGGTTAAAGCTGGGACTCCCTTCTCCATGGCAGTGTTTCCCTGGAGCTTCAGACTATAGAGTACCAGGGTCTCTGGTCCTGGGGCAGTCTACAGGGTGCAGCTATCCCAGAGCAGTTGACCTGAGAAGACTGGGGTACCTGGCCCCAAGGCAGTCTGCATGCAGGTTTCTGCCACAGACCTGCCTGTGATCTGGAGAAAGTTCATTACACCCGACTCACTTTCATGGGAAATGTCCAGTTCAACAAACCCGCATTTTCCAGTGAAGCTCTATTTTGTTGGATAATTTCTGACCAAGGACATGATTTTACCTCTGTATACAGCATGGTGAGAGCAATACTGCATCCAGCTGTGCTGTCCACATTTTAAGAAGGATATTAAAAAAAAATGGAAAGGGTACAGAGAAGAGCCACAAAGATGATTTAAGGACTTGAAAATATGCCTTGTAGTGAGAGATTCCAGGAGCTCCGTCTCTTTATTTTTAATAAAGACCAAGAGGTGGCGTGATTATACTGTATAAGTACTTTAGTGTAGAAGTACTTGCACAGGGACAAAACACTGGTATGTAGAGGCCTCCTTATTCTAGTGGAGAAAGACAAAACAAGAACAAATGGCTGGAAGTTAAAGCCAGAGAAATTCATATTAGAAGTAAGCCATACACTTTTCATAGTGAGGGCGATTAACCATTGGAACAAACTAAAAAGGGAAGCAGAAGATTATTCACTCCTGAAGTATTTAGATGAAGACTGGATGCCTTTCTGGAAGATGTGCTTTAGCCAAACAAAAATTATTGGGTTCAGTTCAGGAGTAACTGGATTAAATTCTGTAGCTTGTTACCCAGGAGGCCAGACTATATGATCTAATGTTTCCTTCTGCCCTTAAAATCTATGAAGCTATGTATCTAAAAGGAAGTCAAGCACTCAAACATTCAGAATGCCAGATGCGTGCTGTCCTCTGTAACCTTAATTAGTCCCTTTTGTATTTGCATTGTGATAGTCTTTAATTACACGATCAAATGCCAACTCTTACAGGATAATCTCTTCCTGTCGTATGTTCATTTCCATCCAGCTTGCCCGCACCTCCCTCCAACTGACAGTGGGAGAGTCACGGTGCCCGTGGTCATCTGCATTATCCTGGGGGTCCTGCTCTGCCTGGTCTTAGTCATTCTGGGGGCGCAGGTGCGAAGAGCCAGGGCACAGCACAGAGGTGGGTCCTGATTGGTGTCACTGTGTGAAATGCCACTGCAATAGCAGTGGGCTGCATGGTTTCAGAGTTTGGGGCGGTACCAGGCTGGGTGGGGTGGCTGAGGGTGCCCAACTCCTCTCTCATTGAATATTTCATCAACTGTCTGGCAGTGGAACAGCCCAGCCATGAAATCTGAAGATGATACTAGCTAGGGAGTGTCACAGTTTCAGAGAAGCTGCCTCTGTATCCCCCCATCACCTGTCTCTGGGTGGGAACCCCCATCCCACCTCCTTGTGGCCAGGGGGTTTTAATGCTGCACACTCCCCTGCCTTCCACTGTGATACCCCCAGCAAACCAGTCTGCCTTCAGACCAGCCCCCATGCTGTGCATTCTCCCCAACGGCTATGAGCAGGGCATTGCCAGCAGTTACAAGTTACCAACCAGCTCTCTCTCAGCAGACTCCACTTTATTCCTAGGATAAAAGTATGACAGAGAAAACATTAAAAACAATAAAAATTCCTCCACACTTGCTGAACATACCAGAATTCACCCGTCTTCCTCATGGGCAGCCTGGGAGACTCACGTCCCTCCAATGATTCAGTGTTGGGATCCCTGTGGACAGAAAGTCCTGCCCATTTGCTGAATCAAAATGAAGGCCCTGAGTCTGTTTAAACTCAGCCTTTCATATCAGAAGTCCTCCTTTGTCTCTTGGTCTCTGGTAACCCAGCTGGAACCAGTCTGTGTAAACCACACCGAAGGCTGTTACCTTTCTGGAGTTGTTTACAATCTCAGTGATTCATCTTCATCAACCCCCCAACACATACACACACACACAAACACTGTTTGTTCTCCCTGAAGGAGCTGGGGTAACCCTCCCACATACAGTAGAACCATTCATAGCTTTAGTTCATAAACCATTCATAGCTTTAATACAGTGATTCCCAAAGATACTGCCTGGAGCTGCAGTATCTGCCACAGGGAGGGGATCTGAATATCATGAGAAGAGACATCATGGAAAAGGGAGCTAGAGAAACGGGAAATATTGTCAGGAAAAAAAATTGTATAAAAATCGAGCTGTGGTAAATAGTTGTGAAGAGAGTGATCCAGTAGAAAAGACAATCTTAGGAAGGAGAAGTGTGGGAAAGGAGCATTATATTGTATTGTACTGAAAGCTGGCACTTGTAGGGGATTTTACTTCTGTAAACCACTGTACAAACATTAGCTCCCAGGGCCTTGGAAAGAAGATGAAGAACGGGACTGCCATCAACATACAGGTAACATTCACAACTTTGCAGTAAGACAATGACTATAATCAGACCTCATGGTTCAGGGCTTCAGCCAGTCGCCTGCAGGGGTCAGGAAGGACTTCTGGGAAGCCCCCATATTTGTGTTTTGTTTTGCTTTGTTTTGTTTTTTGCCCTCTTCTGAAGAATCAGACATTCTCTACAGAGAGAGCTGTGACACTGGATGGGCTGGACCAGTCCTCTGAGGTGATATAGAGAAACCTCTTTTGAAGATATCTGGCTGGTGTGTCTTTTCCACCTGCTCAGGGTCAAACCAATTGTCAGATTTGGGGTCAGGAAGGAATTTCCCCCCAGGTCAGATTGGCAAAAAGGGACCTTGAGGGATTTTCCTCTTGCTCTAGCATGGATCAACTGCCAGGATTATCTAGGCATTTCTCAAGTAATCAGTTCCCTGCCATTGCAGGGGCCTTGGGCATTGGTGATACCTTACTCGTTCCTGCTTTCTGCATGTGGCACACAAGAGCTTATTCTCCTGAGGAATGAAATGCTTTACTCTAAGTGCATCTTTCGGCTCAAACCTTGGGGTATCTGGGTGAAATGCAGTGGCCTGTGTTATACAGGAGGTCACACTAGATGTTCAAATGGTCCCTTCTGGCCTTAAACTCTATGAAAAAAAATGATGTTCTCACCATTTTGCAGATAAACACCTGCATGGGGGAAGAATTATTTAAGATGCTCCGAAGGGGAATAACTAGGAATAATGGGATGAGATTAAAAAGGGAACATTTAAGATGAATGTGAGGAAGCTTCCTCACAGCGATCTAGCCCTGGGAACCATAATCCAAGGGCTGTTGTGGAAAGAAACCCTGTCACCCGGCTCATTTAAATTCCAGCACTGGGAATGTGCGGTAGGGTTCAGGCTCGCACTGGGCCCACGGGATGAGCTGGATGATCCCACAGTGTTTCCCATCTCTGGTTTCAATGACCCTGTGCAAACCCTGCCCTTTGTTTTCAGGCTCCAGAAGACCCTTGGATCCCTTCCCTGAGGCCGTGTACGAGGAGATTGATTATAACCTGATGAGAGAGAAGCAGGAGATGTTCAGTCGCTCAGGTCTGTGGGTCTCACTCTTAACAGGCAGCAGCTATCTAACGCCCTGTCCATCTGAGGCCCTGACCCAGAGTTAAATCACTGCAGCTTCAGCCCTGTGAGCTTGTCATTGGAGCTGGGCACAAATCTCCATTGCAAAATGTTTTGGTGAAAAATGCAGATTCAGAGACACCGAAACATTTCACAGATTCCTGTCAATTTCACCCAATTGTTCCAAATACACACAGAATGATTCATTTCATTTCAACACTTTCTAAAAAAAATATTTTGTTTCTTTCAATTGGATATTACTTTTCCATTAGAAATTTTCTTTAATATTATTGGAAAAAAACCAAACAAACAAAAATGAACTAATGCCCAAAAGAACACCAAATGGTTTCATTCAATATGAAACTTTTTTTTTGCTTTTGCATTTCCCAAAAATTGCCAAAAAAGAAAAGTTATTTTTGGCTCAATTCAAGCCAATGTTGCGGGGTTCTTTTGCTTTTTTTCCCCAATGGCCAGAGAACCAAACAATCTGTTTTTTTGCCAAGCTCTGTGGGAGCTGGGTCTGTGGTGAGACCAGCAGTTACTCATGTAGAATGAGGGAGATGAGTTTCCTTCCCACCATTCACTGTGAGTCCCAATTTTAGGGACACTAAATGTCACTCTGCCTGTCCTGCAGCCTTGGCGTGTAACCAATAAGGGGTTAGGAAAGCGACCGCCTTGCGCAAGGCTAAATTATAATTTGAAAACTGCTCTTGAGCATTGGAGCAGGGGATGTTCTGTGCCCCTATCCCACCTCAGCCACTGGTCTGCTGGGTGGGCTCCCTCCTGCCCCTGGAGCAGAGAGATCAGCCCAGGAGAGCCGCTTGACTTTGAGTCATGGCCCTGTTATCCTTTGTGCCATATTGTCTCCATGTGTGACGGGAACATCCTGCCCAAGGGCTCTGCTGTGGTGGGGCTCTGGGAACATGCTCAGGGTATCCCCCAGCATCACTGCCAAGATGGTTACAGTAAATCACAGCGGACAGCTGATCGACTGATTCATGGGGGAGGTGGGTATTTACCCTTAAGAAGAAGGAGTCCCCTCTGTGGCTGAGGAGGCCAGAACCATTGTGGGACTTCCCTGGACCAGCAGCCAGAGACGTGCCCTTCACTCACCCCAGCATCTTTCAGGTCAGATTGTATCATCCCCTCACCCACTTTTACACAGTAACATGGAGATTTCTCTTGGGGAGTCTGTGTCAGCCTCTCACCTCTCAGAGTGGAAGGAGGAATAGACTGAGACTGGAAATCTGGATGTGTTCCCATTCCCACAGCTCTGCTGTTCTTACTGTGATGAATTTCTGGTGCTCGTCTCTCCTGTCTCCTATTCAGATGACTCAGTGACAAAGCTGCAGTATTACACCGGGGACAGTGAGGGGGAAAATGATCCTGGATCAGAACAAGGTAATGGGGGAGGGGCAGACTCAGGCTGAAAGACCCAAATCTGGGCAGAGAACAGAATTTCTATGACACTGTCTGCAATCGCAGCCATTTCCCTCTCCACGGTTCCCATTTTACACAGTCGGGTCTAATCCCATTGAACAGGATTTCTGTCAGAATCTCAGGATGGGACCATGTGACCATCTCCTGAGCACACGTCCCTGGGAGTGGCTCCCAGTGACCTCCCCAGGTGAGGAGCTGGAGAAGACGCGTCAGTCTCTTTGGGTGGAAGGCGTCAGTGCCCAGCAGGGCTCGTCTCTCATGCCCAAGAAGAGGAATATTGTCCTTTGTTATATTTACAGAGGGACTCAGCCCAACTCACTGATCCAAACCCACCAGAACTTTGGAGGGGGGGAATTTGCAGATTCTGACCCCAGCTCTGGATCTCAGTTTTGCAGCTGACACCTGTTGCTATAACAGGCTGAAGCAAAATCTTGGATCTGAACTTCCTGACCTGGCCCCATCTCTAATTTTAAACAGGGCAGCATTTCTACCCCAGCAGCTCTCAAGGGAGTCCATGATTTGTGCCTTTTGGGATTTTAGCCTGTGGTTGCGGGAGGAAACTTTGAGCAGATGAGCCAGGTCTGCTGAGAAGCTGGAGCGCTGCCAAGCTTAGCCCAGGGCTGCCTGAGAGGCTAGTGGAGAGCAGGAGCTCACAAAGGATCAGGACAGTGATCTCCCAGTGGGATCTTTAATTCCTGCAGAGTGGAGGAAAGTTCAAACCTGTCTGCAGAGATCGGCTGGATTCACACAGGCCAGTTCTGGCCTGGCAGCGCCCTTGTTGCAACCTGTTATCTCAGCACAACCCAGATTCTGCTCCCACTGAAACACGTAAAAGAGCTGCTGTTGGATGCTGCAGGGAGAGGATTGGCTCCTAGTTATTTCTGGGACTCCTGTTTTACTGTAGTTCTCTGTCTTGTGCCCTGCTCAGCATGGGCCCCCTATAACTTCCCCTCTCATGTGCCATGACACATAGCTCTAGTTATAAGGGCCACCTGCACTGAAGAGACGCTGCTGGTGCCATGGGCTGAGTGTGGTGTTTGCTGTTCCAGAGGAAGCTTCCCCAGGAGGGTCTGAGTTGGATTATGATAACGTGGAGGAGCCTGCCTTGAACGACGTCCCCCAGACTCCAGACGGCCGAGGTGAGTAGTGAATCCGCCTCCTGGAGGCAACGTCACCCTGACAAAAAACTGAATGTGTTTCCCAGTAGGGACAATAGTGGCTTGTTAAGAAAACCACAAAGTTCACCCAGTAGTATTTTCTATTGAGGGAGAGATAGCTCAGTGGTTTGAGCATTGGCCTGCTAAACCCAGGATTGTGAGTTCAATCCTTGAGGGGGCCATTTAGGGGACCTGGGACAAAAATTGGGGATTGGTCCTGCTTTGAGTAGGGGGTTGGACTAGATGACCTCCTGAGGTCCCTTCCAGCCCTGACATTCTATAAACACTGGGGTCCCTGACCAGGCTCATAACAAGAGCTGTGTGGAGGCCCAGGGATAGGGAAGAGTGAGGTATAGGTCTCGATAAAGGCCCATTGCAGGGACTGAAGGAGCAGTTCGCTCAGGAGCTTCCCATGCAATACTTGGCTCAGGTCACTGCCCTGTGACCATCACTGCCATGAGCACTAGGGTAACTCACTGTTTGTGAAGAGGGCATATCGAAGCACAGATGTCTACAGTGCAGCAATGTTCCCTTCCAGTCTTTCCTGGCATGCAGCTATTGCAGCGTATATACGTCTGTGTCAGACATGCTGGGATAGGGTGGTGGATGGGACAGAGATTTTACACCCAAGGGCCCCTGTCCCAACCTTATTAGCTGGCTCAGCTCCAAGTGGTGTCAGTACGTTGGAGACTGATGGCAGTTTATGGGGTAAACTTTATCAAGAGAATGCATTGAAAAGACATTTTTAAAATAATGTCAAGTTTAGGAAGCCGGGAACAAACTCTGGACAATTCCAAGTCATTTACATTTGTAATTATTGAAACCAAATGCCTTGTGGAGCAATCCCTCTGGATTAGATTCCAGTCACCACTTTCTACAACTCCCCCTTCCCCTCAACATCTGGGAGCTCTAGGATCCACTCAATGAGCTATTGAAATGTATCAGATCAATGTGATATGTAAAACCCCTCAATCTGAGGGTTCCAGGGGAGGGATCCTCTTATCGCCCTGAGGGTGGAAGTGCTGAGAGATCCCCAGGGACCAGTGAGGCTGGTGCATCTGCAGCTTGTAGTTTACTTCTACCTTCACTGTGACTATTCTCTTAATTACTTCACATCTTCATGTCAGATGCCCCTGCCCTGCCTGGAGATGTCCCAGGGGATGGTTACGATGATACCAGAGAAGTGTCTGACTCTGAAGGTGACCCTGGTTTGGGGCAGAATGATAAGCAAGGCATAGGGGCGAGTGACAGGGAGAGGGATTCACAGACAGGTGAGTGGAGAACTGTTTGCAATTCACACTGTCTCTGCAGAGTGGGAGGGCTGGAAATGTGGGGTACGCAGCAAGGGAACAGCCCTGGCCAACCAACACCTGTGAGACAAACTCTCCTTCTCTCGTCTCTCCATTCCCTGAAAGCAGAGGCTTCAGTGCCTGCCATGGGGGGAGGAACAGCAGGGTCCCTGCTGGGTGGTACTTCGTGGTCAAACCAGCAAGACACCTAGGATCCTTCTGCCTCTAGGTTCCAATCCTTGTGTGGCTGCCACGCCCTGGATGTGCTGGATTCCCACCACTTCACTCTGCCTGTATCTTTTCGGCAGAATCCTATACACCAAAGTCCTCTTACTGCTGCACCAGTGCTAACGAGCCCATGACACATCCTGTAAAATCTGGGATGGGCTTTGCCCATTGTCCTTAGCCAATATCTCCCTCTCTTCCCCAATGTGTCATGAGCAGAGACACCACCCACCACCAATGAAATGTGCATTGATTAGGACTTGATAAAAATAACGTGCTAATGTTCATTGCTAGGGCAGAGTGAAAGTTATGATGTTCTTAACTAATCGCTCCTTGCTGGTAAGTGCTTGGGTTTTGTACATGAAGTGACAGGTAGCTATAGCTGGCACTAGGCAACTTTACCTCGTCTGGAAACCAAAGGTTTTAATTTCCAGACTATGTACAGTAACTCCTCACTGAAGGTCCCCCCGCTTAATGTTGTTTCAAAGTTACGTTGCTGCTCCATTAGGGAACACGCTGTTTTAAAGTTGTGCAATGCTCCCTTATAACATCGTTTGGCTGCCTGCTCTGTCCACTGCTTGTATGATTTTGTGGAAGAACAGCGACTTTACAAGGGAGCATTGCACAACTTCCTCTTCTCCACCTCCTCCCACTCCTTCCCAGCACTTCTCCTGGGTCCTATGCACCCAGCTGTTTAGCAGCACTTAGGACTTTCTGGCGGGGAGGGGGAGGAGCGGGGAAGCACTGTGTCTCCACTCCTCCCCCTCCCTCCCAGAAAGTCCTAAGTGCTGCCAAACAGCTGTTTGGAGATCCTTAGGACTTTTTTTGAGTGGGGGGGGAGAAGGAGCGGGAATGCGGCGTGCTCCAGAGAGGAGGTGGAGTGGGGGTGGGAAGAGGTGGGCCTGGAGTGGAGCGGGGATGGGAAGAGGCAGGCAAAGTCGGTGCCTGTTCTTCTCTGGGTAACTGCCACTGCTGCTGCAAAGGTGCTTCCTAGCCTCCTTGCCTGCAGGGGGCTGTGCCTGTGTGGGGTAAGCCAGGGGCACTTCCCAACCACAGGACAGTACAATACTGTACAGTATATAATGCCTTTTGTTTGCCCCAAAATAATTTCTTTGGAACTTAACCCCCCGCATTTACATTAAATCTTATGGAAAAATTGGATTCGTTTAACATCATTTCACTTAAAGTTGCATTTTTCAGGAACATAACTACAACGTTAAGTGGGGAGTTACTGTATAGACATGATGGATTAGAACTTGTCATAGACCTGAGACTGAAGGGGGAACGGTTCCCAATCTGTACTGCAGAGCAGAGTTTCCCAAGCTGGGCAGCACAGAACATATCCTGGGGCGGCATGAGAAGCCAGAGCAGAGAGCGGTGACTCCTGTCCCGGTGCCCCGTTTTGAAGGCAGCGCTGCCACCGGCAGCAATGCAGAAGTACAGATGTCATGGTCTGGTGTTGCTACTCTTATTTCTCCGCTGCTGCTGGCGGTAGTGCTGCCATCGAGCGGGGTGTCTGGAGAGCTATATACTGATATGGCTCTTTGTGACTCAATGCCCGACTGGTTTTCATAGTTAGTGAAAGTTGCATGTTGTTGTTTTTTTAAATGGGTATATGTACTTGTGTGGCAGGGAGGGGAAGTGTCAATTACTACGGAGACAAAGAAAGGAGCCACAATCAAATAAGTTTGAGAACCACAGCTGTAAAGTGCACTCCACCTTGCTCTGCAGCCACACATAACCATAGAATCGATCCACTGACTGTATCTGTCTCCCTTGGTATTTTCAGGTGGGAGTCTGCAGTCGCTAGGGGGTGAAGTTGTCTCTGGGATGGAGAAGGAAACCCCGTCCCTGCTTCTTGGAGACACAGGTTATGATGATGTGGGACATGGTGACTCTGGGGGTTCAATATCATAACAATTTGATTGGACAAACTAACCCTGTGATGATGTAAATGCTTCACCTCTTTCTCTCAGAAATGATGGCCCAGAGAAAGTCCCTTCCTGGTTGATAGACAAAGCAGGTGTTTTTATAAGATTTGTGTGAAGCCGCAGGAAATACAAGAGTGAGTGGGGAAAAGGTTCATAAGCTTTCTTTGTATAATTTTCCATTGTTTGGAAGGAGTGGAAGTTTCCTGCTGTTTTATGCCTATAATTTCTTCAGCTTGACTTTGTGACTTTTTTATATTAAATCTTTTCTGAAAGTCTTCCCCTTAGTGAAAGTTTTTCTTGCCAGATGAATTGTTCAGTTTCCAGGGCTCAGCACAGGGAGACGCTGAGATTAAACAAACCAAGAGACAAGGGAAGGCCACCTCTGGTATGGCTGGCTGTTTGATAGCAGGGTGGGTTTACACATCAGACATGTGGTAAAAGTGAGAAACCAGGTAGAGAACATTCTGAGATGAGCAACATGGTTGTTCCTGAAGTGAATTCAGATTTGAAACTTTCATTGAATTCAAGGAGATAAATGGAAAATTCTCCCAGGGTAATTCACACCTGAAGTTAAACAAACTGAAAAGATTTCCCGATTAGCAATAAATGCAGAGGATGAATATTTCTGCTAGGACAATAAATGAATTCTGTAGAAAATAATGGCAAGAGGAGGGTTAATAAGAACCTGGATTTCCACTGAACCAATGAGGCTACAAGAAGTAACAAGTCACTGAGTTGTTACTACAAACCCCAGTAAAACCAATCATGTTCACACAGTGGCATGTTTATTTCCATAACAATCCACAAATATAGTTTACAATCAATGCTGAGCTGAGTACTGACCAGTGGAAAAGCCAGAAGTGTTCTCTTAATGAAAGTGTTCTCAGTGAAATCAGTGTTCTCAGAAGTGTTCTCAGTGAAATCAATACCAGAACGCACAAAGAGTACATCACTCTTTCACAGAAATGTCTGTCTTTCCTTTACCACAAGTTCTGCATTCAGCTGGGTCACTTCATCTGTAGAAGGATAGATTGGAAATAGAAATGTCCAGAGAAGGTGCTTCCAATCATCTGCATTCAGCAGGGCCAGGAGTCATATAAAAAGAGAGAAATACAACAATTTACTTTTGAAAGGAGAAAAATAAAAATACAGTAGGAAGATGTGTAATAGGGCATACTGAACCTTGACGACTGAGGAGGGAAATCTCAGGGGCTGTGCTAACCTGTTCCAAGGGCTGTGTCCTCAAGACAGATTTGTGGGACAAAGGCAATGACCACAGAGAGAGAAAGTGGACCCATTGTGGGTGTTTGTGCTTCGACAGGGAACACAGGCTGCTGACCCTGCCTAGGGCCTGGGACTGGAGCCTTATAGAGGGAGCAGATGAAGGCTCCTCTCTTCAGGCTGAAGGAATCCTGGCAAATGTTCCTGGGTTTGGCCAGTCCATCCAGGGTTTCATGTCACTCACAGGCTGAAAGAGGAGGAGAACTCTCCCCAGAATGACACATCTCTCCATGTTTCCCCACTTTCTTGTTTAAATTCATATGGGCCCCCCCTTGCTGGAAATCCAGGGGGTTGAAATTTCATCAAACTCTATGGGGATTTGCATTGAGGGAATAAGGGAGTTCCCTAGCCCATGGTTTTCTGTCATGTTAGATCGTGATTCCTACAGAGGACAGCTCGCTTACTTACCAGATCAATAGTCGTGGGTCACCAGTGTGGTTAGATGTTGATCGATGTTTGGCTGTGTCTGTGTGTTCCCTTTGTGTGCTGCCCCAGCCCTGCACAGACAGCTGGCACGGCAGACCTCGAGCAAACCGCCCGATGACCACAAGGTCCGTTGAGGGACGAAGGCACCCAACCAGGTTAATTGTTGACAAAGCATAGTACTGGTACCCCACAGACTCTAGTGGACCACTAATACTTATTTGCCCGTAACAATGGACCAGCTCAGTGAATGGCAGGACTTTCCGTTCCTCCCTAAACCAGACAAAGATTCTCTCTCTACAATACATTTTTATACCCTGATACAAACAAGTCACTTACTGCCTCTGGCATAGTTAGTTACTGCCCCCTGATGTGGCTAGTTATTACCCATCACCTTGTACATGTTGGTTTGATTAAAACATCTTTATTACATACTGTTATCCTGACCTTATCTTTTAGGAGGGGTCAGTGTGTTCGTGTTATCCTTGGGGAATGTTTCTGTACCATCCTCGATAGCAGGATGTTCTGGTACCACTTGATAGTGGGATGTGTTTGCATTCCAGCAGCACCTGTGTCACATGAAGCCTGCACCACACCAGTATGTCTCTCCTGCTCTCAGATCAATACTTTGCTGGCCAGTACCCAGGTTACCAGGCCCAGCCCTTCTCCCCAAAGGGTGACAATGGTTGTGTGAGAGGAGAAACTACATCTGGACTACTTCACCTACGGTTTTGGGTAAGCTCTGAGTGTCTGGTGCTCACGCTCCCTCTCTTTCTGTCTTGACCCCGCACAGTCACCTGCTCTGTCCCTCTCTTTGTTGTATGTGCCCCAGTCTCCTGTCAGTGCCATTTGTTTACCTGTGACTGACTCTTAGCATGCTGGATGCCACAAGAGCTCCCTCCCCACTCTGTCAGTCTGGACTGGGCTAGGAGCTACATTGCTGGTAGGCCTTGACGTTGCCTACTTGGCTGAAGAGCTCAGATTCCCTTCCTCACATGACGAGGATAGGTAATGCCTGTGCAGTGCCCTCTGGATGAAAATCTCTCTGCCAAGGCTGAGTCTGATCAGTTTAGCATGAAGCCAGTACTAGTTTGAGTGACTCAGGATTTAATTCTCTCTCTCACTCTGGTTTGGTACATGGGCAATTATCTTAGGTATCGTGAAAGACACCAAATGAGACGAAGCCAAATGCTGGAGCCTGTGGGAGTGGGACATCCCAGGAGCTGGAGATAGGACAGAAGGACACCCTGATCAAGCCCCTGTTGGTTGAAGCATGGTAGAAAGCCCTGACCCCTGAGAAGAGGGAACATTCTTTCTATCTCATCCCAACGATAGCTGGAAGCTAGTTAGGATTTTTCCTACCTGTGCTGAAATCCGCTCAGCTGGGGATGAGTAAAGCTGGCAACAAAGCTAAGGTGGACCCCAAATAAGACTCCTCCTCCTCAGGAAATCCAGTGTTTGGTAAATGTGATGAACATGGTCTGTTGGGGACCTTGCAAGCTCCAACCACAGAGCAGGAGGGGGTTGGCCTCAGAAGAATGGGCATGCCTGACCCCTTCCTGCTAAGCGATGGGCAGATGTTCCTCACAGCCAGTTCTTCTAGTCTCCTCTCCCAGCATAATGCCACTTGCTGTGCGTAAGCCTGTATATTATTGTGGTCCCCCATTCCCCATAGGGAGCACCAAGGCCAGGGTAGACCAGAACACCATGCTTAGCATTTCATGAAGTCACGTCTGCTTGTGTCTTCCCCCATCTCTGCTGAGCAGCCTGAAGACATCGAAAAGGAGGTGACCCAGAGTTCCCTCATCTGCATAAAAGGTAAGGGCATCTCTCCAAATTCTGTACTACTGAGACTAGAACCAGCAGCGAGGGCAGCAAAGGGAGGGAATTTGCAGCATCTCCCTCAGTCCACAGCTAACATGATATGCTCAGATACACCCATGTAAAACAAACCCTTGGGTGTGAGCTGGTACCTAGGACTCTCTGGCAAAACACTGTGAACGCCTGTTATGTTGCACTGCCACTAATATTACATCCACACTAAGGACCAAGGACATCCAAAACTCCATGAAAACCCACTCCAGCAAATCCTTCAAAAGGAGCTTGCAAGTGGACAGCAAGAACCGCCTGCTGCTCCAGCAGACTGCCCTGCCTGATGTTTCGGGGAATTACACAGTGTATGTGAATGGCCATGGCTGTGTCTATGTGCAGCTCAGAGATCCCTAGCCCACTGCCCCTCACTGTGGGCAGCTCCACCCAGTAATGAACCATTCTTGTGTCTGCCTCTTCTTTGTTCTTTCATTCTTTGGTACATTCATTCTTTCTTTGATTCTTTTGTTTCTTTTGCAATGTTTTATTCTTTTAGATTTCAGAGGAACAGCCGTGTACAGCCTCAGAAACAACTCTGACATCATAATCAAAAAGGCTGACAAAGGAGGTGCTGTTGTCATCATGAATAGGTCGGAATATGAACAAGAGGCTGCTCGGCAGCTCTCCAACACGAGTTTCTACAAGCCATTACCCTCTGATCCCACTGAGAGTTACCAAAAGCAACTACAGCATTTGCTCAAGAAACTTCCTGAAAAAGCACAAGATCAAATCCGCACAGACACACCCCTGGAACCCCGACCTGGGATATTCTATCTACTACCCAAGATCCATAAACCTGGAAATCCTGGGCGCCCCATCATCTCAGGCATTGGCACCCTGACAGCAGGATTGTCTGGCTATGTAGACTCCCTCCTCAGGCCCTACGCTACCAGCACTCCCAGCTACCTTCGAGACACCACTGACTTCCTGAGGAAACTTCAATCCATCGGTGATCTTCCTGATAACACCATCCTGGCTACTATGGATGTAGAAGCCCTCTACACCAACATTCCACACAAAGATGGACTACAAGCCGTCAAGAACACTATCCCCGATAATGTCACGGCTAACCTGGTGGCTGAACTTTGTGACTTTGTCCTTACCCATAACTATTTCACATTTGGGGACAATGTATACCTTCAGATCAGCGGCACTGCTATGGGTACCCGCATGGCCCCACAGTATGCCAACATTTTTATGGCTGATTTAGAACAACGCTTCCTCAGCTCTCGTCCCCTAAAGCCCCTACTCTACTTGCGCTATATTGATGACATCTTCATCATCTGGACCCATGGAAAAGAAGCCCTTGAGGAATTCCACCATGGTTTCAACAATTTCCATCCCACCACCAACCTCAGCCTGGTCCAGTCCACACAAGAGATCCACTTCCTGGACACTACAGTGCTAATAAACAATGGCCACATAAACACCACCCTATACCGGAAACCTACTGACCGCTATTCCTACCTGCATGCCTCCAGCTTTCACCCTGACCACACCACACGATCCATCGTCTACAGCCAAGCTCTGCGATACAACCGCATTTGCTCCAACCCCTCAGACAGAGACAAACACCTACAAGATCTCTGTCAAGCTTTCTTACAACTACAATACCCACCTGCAGAAGTAAAGAAACAGATTGATAGAGCCAGAAGAGTTCCCAGAAGTTACCTACTACAGGACAGGCCTAACAAAGAAAATA